TTGGACAATGTGCAGTTGCACTTGGACGCCGCGAAAGGTTTCCTGAAAGTGGGAATTCGAGCGCCCTTCGACAAGTCAGGAGATCTCGAGTTTTGCCGAGAGGCGGCGGAACTCTGGGAAGCAGGGGGGCTGCGAGCAAAAGTGGATGCCGCAGTCGCGGAGGTGAGGGAGGAATGCGGGCAGAAACGTTTGAAATGGTCCTACAATGACGTGCTGCGTCTCATACAGGAATACGAGAAACACGCCGCCACAGATTCCGCGTTGAATAGGCTCGGCGATGAGGAGGGCGATGACGAGGGCGGGGGGGAGGAGGAGGATGAGGTGCGCGAGGAGCACGAGGAGGGCGAAGAGCAAGAGGGGGCCTCGTGGGCCGAGGCTGTAGCGGAACAGTGCGACGCCGCAGTTGCGGCACCTGGGCCTCAAGGACCCTCGGTATCCATGGACTGCGTGGTCGACGCAGAGGCGGCCGAGCAGGTGGCAGTGGCGACGTCCTTGGCAGAAACGCTCCGCGAGGCGGAAGATATGCTGCGCCAAGTGGGCATGGGGAAACTAGCGCAGGATTGCCGGCAGCAACAACGCAAACAAAAGAAGCGGTTGAGAGAGCTGGCGCGGGAGGACAACGATATCCTACGAGCGTTGACTGCCCAGCGAGACCACGAAGCCGCAGTGCTAGCGAAAAAGCGGCGCCTGGCGCTGGAAGCGAACGACAGGACGAAGGCGCTGCACGATCTCAAGAAGCAGATTCGAGAGGCCGAGGCCGCCTTGAGGGCAAAGAAGGAGGCCGCAGTTGCGGTGGAAACGGCTCTGGCTAACAAACGCGCCCTAGCGCAGTGGAACCCCGAGGAGTTCAAAATCAAGAAAAACAGGATGGCAGCTCTGGACCGCCTGGCTCGCGGAAAGGGCGTCCTCTCAGACGAGCAGAGGGGGGAGTGGGCGTGGTTCAAGACGCATTGGGACGAGGAGATGTGCAAGCAGCACAAGGAGCAATGGCCGTTGACGTTTGCTGGGTGGCTGCAAAAAGTCGCGAACGACGCGGCGTCTGGGAACCGTTCGGCGCTGTCGCAGTTCGTGCATTCGGAAACAGCGAGAACCCTGGGGGGGCAAATGGCGCTGGTAATCCCAGCCCTAGCGCGATGCAGGCCGCAGTTGCGGACCCACAGGAAGTCCAGCGTGAAGCTGTTTTCCCGAGCGGCGTCCGCGCGGGCAGGAGATGAGAAAAAAAAACCGCAGTTGCGGTCTTCCAGCTGCTGCGAAACTAATCCTTTCTCAGTCCCTTGTAATCCTCGCCCTCCTTCTGCTTTTCCGCCAGTCCCTTTGTTGTTCTTCCAGTTCCTTTGAGTCCTCGCCCTCCCTCTGCCACTCCTCGAATCCCCTTTGTCTCCTCCCTCCATCCGAGCCCATGCCCATTCGCGATCCATTTCCGTGGCCACCGCGGCTCGAGGTGGCGCACGCGAAGACCCAGGCACATGGCCGCCCGCGCGCCCGAGCGCATCCTCTGGGAGTACGGACCGTGGAATTCGATTCGCCAGAACGGTGTTCATCCACAGCGCTGGGAAGGAGAGGGGAGGCGAGGACGAGAAAGAGAAGGAGGAGGGAGGCGAGGACGAGAAAGCAGCAGTTGCGGATGATGACGACGACCAGCGGACGCAAGATGGCGACAGCACCGTCGCGTCCTCGGCTGTCTCTGCTGACGAGGCTGAGCCGCGGGGAGGTGCGGGAGCCGCAGTTGCGGCAGCACGGGGCTCCTACATGCCGAGAGCGTTGTCGCCGCGGAGAACCTGGACTCGGGCGCCCGTCATCCAGACAAGCAATCTGTCGGAAAACCAAAGAGCTCTTGTCGACGCATGGGAGGAGAGAACGGGGTACGAAGCGGGACGGGTCGGCTTCTACGTGGCCAACTTCGGAGGGACTGCAGCTAGACCCGTGCAGCGCGCGGACGAGTGGGCGCAGCTCCGCGCGAACCCTGCCCAGATCATCGCCCTGTGCGAGCGCGACGACGAGACCTGCGCGGTACTCAGTGGGGAGCGCGACGCGAGGGACAGTGCAGCCGCAGTTGCGGACGATACGTTTCGGAATCGGACTCACTACAACTACCCGTGCATTAAGGGCGGCGAGCCATCAGGGACCCTCCTTGTTGGCATCAGGGACCGCAGTGGCGGCCACATTGAACGCGTCGGCTTTGCGAGGCTCTTCCACAAGCAGGAGAAGTCCAAAACGAAGAAGAAAAAGAACAAGTCCGCAGTTGCGGATGTTCCTGCGCCAAAGTGGCACAACCAGTACTCCAGGGCGATGGTGGTGCGCGTCCACCTGGACCAGGCCGTGCCCCATCTGGGGGGTTCCTTCAACGTCGTGGCGGTGCACGTCCACCACAGCTTGGCCAACCAAGACTGGGGCGTCACGAAGCTCTATGAGTTCTACAACTGGTTCGTCGCCTACGTCAGGGATTGGAACGTGAAGGTCTGCATGGGGGACTTCAACATGTGCATGTTCCAGCTTGTGTCCTGGTGCCGCAGTTGCGGCCTTGACTGTGGACGTCGCCGCGCGGACCCCCTGGAAGACAACAGGCGGCCAGCCCAGGGCAGACAGCATGGCGATTATGTTCATAAGCTGTCCTGGGCAGTACAAGCGTCACCATGGCCTGAGTGTTCTGCGCGACCGCGAAGCGGGTTCTTGACGACCCAGCATGACCCGTCGTTCCGTGTCTTCGACTACACGAATGGCCCTGCGAAGATGCTTCAGATTTACGTTCCCAAGGCTGAGGCCGTAGAAGACAATACGCGCGCCTTCCTGACGCCATCTGGCGAATCCTTGGCCGCAGTTGCGGATTTCGAGGAAAGGATGGCGCGCAGGGCGCGCGAGGAGTTTGCGCCTCATCCCTTCAGAGTGAAGCAGGGCAAACTCGACGACAAGATATGGCATGGCGCCGTCGGCAGGGCGAGGCACGGAGCGCACTTCCCCCTGGTGGCTTTCACGCACAATACGCGCCGCAGGTCACCTGAAAGACTCGCCGCGAGGTTGGAAAGGCACGCACAGAAGAGGGGCAAGGGGGCCAAAGAAGACGGCAGGAAGGGCGGCAAGAAGGGCAGCTACGCACACACCGCAGTTGCGGGGAAGGGCGCCCGACCCCAGATGGAAACCGCAGTTGCGGGGAGAGACGCTGGGGCTGAGCGAGCAGAGAACACGCCACCGCCGCAAGCTGCCAACGGCGACGATGCGACCCCTTCTTATGCCGCAGTGGCGGCTGGGTCCTGGGGCGCGAGCGGCAGCGGCGCATGGGGGGCGCGCTGGTGGGACTGGCGCTCGAGCGGATGGGGTGCTGATGGCGCGCAGTGGTGGCCCTCTGATGAGGCCGCAGTTGCGGACAATGCCCCTGGGGGCTCGCCTCCTCAGCGCGAAGTCGAGTGGGGCTCGAGCGGGCGAGCGGCCGAGCGCCACCCGTGGACCTGGGAGGCGCAGCGTTGGTGATGGCCGCAGTTGCGGGCAAGTGGAGCATGGCGTTGATAGCCGCAGTTGCGGACAGTGTACGCAGGACAAGTCATCATCAACATCATCATATCATCAGCCTCTTGTGAAGACGTTCAAAGCAGTGCCGGGGGACTGCTTTGAACGCGTTCAAAGCAGTGCCGGGGGACTTCTTTCGATCGCCCCCTCGAATCCGTTATAAAGGCTTTCGGATTACGGTGTGGGCGTTCGTTAAGGAATGTGCCCTGGAGGCTTCAGACCCTGGGTGGTTCCTTGTCTGATGAGGGTGGCAGTTATTTCCGTGGCGAAGCCAGCATTGGTGTTCCATCGGCATCGAAATCCTGAATTCCTGTTTCAGTTGTTTCTCATACATTGCCCTCACCTTTGTTTTGTTCAGCCCCAGGCTCCTCGTTTCTGCCTTGTCTCACTCGCTTCCCTCGCTTCCGTTCCTCCTCCTCCTCCTCCTCCTTCCTCCTCCCCCTGTGTCGTTTTTGTTTGGGCGCCTTTCGCTGAAGCCTGGAATTCAGATGTGCGTGCGTCTGGATGTCGCAGTCTGCAGCCTGCCCTACACTCGCGCTTGCACCGCTCCTCATTTCGGCCTGGAGTCAGCAGGCGCTCCAGGGCAATTACGGGGCCTTGTTGCATTGCCCCCCTTTGGCCTCCAATGGTCCGCCAGGGCCCTGGCTCTGCGGTTGCATGGCCTTGCTGTGCCCCCTCTGGCCTCCGCTGGTCCACCAGGATTTTGGTGCTGCAGGCGTGGGCCTGCGTCTGCGATGAAGCATCGCGCGGGCAGCCGTGTTTAATTGCCCTCTGCTGGGCCCCTCTGGTTTACGCTGGTCCGCCAGAATCTGGGTTCTGCAGATAATGATGGCGCGCATTTTCATCGTTCCAGACTCATTCCATTGCTGGCCCCGACGTGATCTCGATGAAGTGCTGGCCCCGACTTGGTCTCGATGAAGAGTCCCTCGGCGCGTTGTTGTTGGACGGCGCTTCTGTCCAGCAGGCAGGCTCCAAGGAGGCTGGTGTGATGCGTACCCCTCTCCTCTCCTCCTTGCCTCCCTCCTTACCAAAGCCAGAGGCAGCGCATTTCAGCAGAACTTGTAAGTAGATGACTGGTACCACAGCGTACATTAAACGCTCTGCCATGGCCAGGCGTTTGGGGAGCGTTGCGCGTTGCGCCCCCGAGTCGCGGTTGAGGGGCCCTGCGTTGCTGTGCGATCGTTGCCGAGGAGAAATATCGAGGGGAACAAACAATGATGCACAGATAACGACTCGGAGGTCCGCGCGGATTTCGTGGATCGGAGCGGGACCCCCCTCCCTGCCGTTCTCTGCGCTCCAGGGGCGCCGCCGGAGATGCAGCCAGGGGGGCCCCAGCGCCGATCCAAGGACTCTGCTCTGCGCGAACCTCGGCGTTGTTATGCTTATGGCATCCTTTCATCCTCCAGAGTCGTCCGTTGCCTCCCAACGTTGGCCTGCCCGGGCCCCGCCCCGCCGGCCCCGCGCCCTCGCGGCCCGCGCGGCCCGCGCCGCGCCCCGAGGCCCTGCCGAGGCACGTGTTCACGAGGCTGTCGGCCCCCGGCTGCGCCGAGTGAGCGCTGGCGAGGGGCAGGCCGCCCTGCAGAAGAGAACAAGATACGCAGATTCCTACCCTGCCCTCGTGTTCGCCTGTTGGACCTCCCGGGGGGCTCTCGTGGTCAAGGCTGGATTCGCCGCGAAGTTCTGGTCAGAACGCACCCCGGGAAAGGGTTCGGGGAGCAGCGGTATCGGTACCTTTTGGTTTCTCCAGCGGTGCTCTCCGCGGTGGGAGGGAGTCGTCTACGCGAATCTAGGCCTCCCAGGTGGGGTCGGAGCATATGGGGTCGGAGTATCGCGCCGCATCGCCGATGCATCGCCGATGCACCGGCGATGCGGCACGATGTGGAGCCCGATGGTCTCCCCGCTGGCGTCACCGATGCATCGGCGATGCGGCGCGATCCTCCGACCCCATCTACTCGGACCCCATGTACGAGTCCTCCAGCGCAAAAAAGTGACCCTTCGCCAGAGTGACCTGCCTACGAAAAGCCCAGACCAAAATTCATTTGAATCCTTTGATCTTGGGGGTGTCTGGTGATCATGAGGTAGTGAAGCCAGGAAGGCAGCCAAGGCAGCCAATAAAGGTGTCCGCCCAGCGTTGGTCTGTGCGCTTGGATTTCCCCCCTTCCCGCGGCCCCCATGAAGCCACGAGCAAAAGGTCACTCTTGCCTATATAGGAACACTCTTGCGTGCAGCCGAGGGAGCGGGGAACAGCATCGCCAAGAAGGAGGAAACAGGTGCTAACCTCAGGAATCATGTCTTGGAAGGTCAAATTCGGCATCGGGGTTGGTTGAACCTTTGTCGAAATCCAGTCTGATTCTGCTTAATATGGTCATCCCGCTTAAAATCCAGCTTCATCCACATTAGCCCTTGGCTCAGTCTGGCCTCATCTGGTGGAATGGCTGTTTCAGAATGGGCGTTCAACAACAATAACAACAATCACTACTACTACTACGACTACTAATACTACTGCTACTGCTACTGCTACTGCTACTGCTACTGCTACTGCTACTACTACTACTACTATACTACTACTACTACTACTACTACTACTACTACTACTACTACTACTACTACTACTACTACTACTACTACTACTACTACTACTACTACTACTACTACTACTACTACTACTACTACTACTACTACTACTACTACTACTACTACTACTACTACTACTACTACTACTACTACTACTACTAACTACTACTACTACTACTACTACTACTAACTACTACTACTACTACTACTACTACTACTACTACTACTACTACTACTACTACTACTACTACTACTACTACTACTACTACTACTACTACTACTACTACTACTACTACTACTACTACTACTACTACTACTACTACTACTACTACTACTACTACTACTACTACTACTACTACTACTACTACTACTACTACTACTACTACTACTACTACTACTACTACTACTACTACTACTACTACTACTACTACTACTACTACTACTACTACTACTACTACTACTACTACTACTACTACTACTACTACTACTACTACTACTACTACTACTACTACTACTACTACTACTACTACTACTACTACTACTACTACGACGACGACGACGACGACGACGACGACGACGACGACGACGACGACGACGACGACGACTACTATTGCTACTATTGCTACTACTACTACTACTACTACTACTACTACTATACTACTACGACTACTACTACTACTACTACTACTACTACTACTACTACTACTACTACTACTACTACTACTACTACTACTACTACTAACTACTACTACTACTACTACTACTACTACTACTACTACTACTACTACGACTACGACTACGACTACGACTACGACTACGACTACCACGACTGCTACTACTACTACTACTACTACTACTACTACTACTACTACTACTACTACTACTACTACTACTACTTGTACTAATACGACGACGACGACGACGACTACTACTACTATTACGACTACTACTACTACCACCACCATTACTACAACAACTACTACTACTACTACGACTACGACTACGACTACGACTACGACCACTACACCAACACAAACAACCACAACGACAACGACAACGACAACGACAACAGCAACAATCACTTTACCCGAACGCTCAGTGTTCTCACCAGTGCCAGGGTTTTCATGCGACGCCAGCCAATACCCCCACTTTGTGGGGGGGCAGTGCAAGCTCTACCAAATATCCACACGACTCTTCGCCACCACCCACACCCAGCTTCCCGCCCTATGACGTTCGGACACTTCACTTCGTGGCCTGCGGACGACCGTGGCTACTACACTGGCGTGGAGTACACACCCACAGAAGTTGTTAAGCCTACGTTCGTACACCCACAGAAGTTGTTAAGCCTTGTTAACCCACAGAAGTTGTTAAGCCTTCCACAGAACATCTGTTGCATATGATGCATATGGTACATGATACACATGATACACATGATACGTACTCACAAGATAGTTGATCAAATCTTTAGGCGGCCGAGGGCGCAACCTATGGCGCAACCAATAGGGGGACGTTTTATTCTCGGCGGCCGAGGGCGCAACCTATGGCGCAACCGCAAGGGATTGTGGCCCCTGGCAGGCGCGCGAACCCCGTTGCAAGAGCGTGCGAAAGTAGCTCGCGCGAGCTCATGTAACATAAATGTTGGAAAACCATTGGTTTTTTTAAGATTCGGACAGCGCGCGCGGGTAGAAATTTTGAAAAGTCGTGCAGGTGTTTTTCGAGGACCTACGGTGCGATTCGTGTGATTTTATGATGCGCGGTGCTAAAATTCTTAAGAAGCCCAATGGTTTTTGGAGATTTCGGCGTGCGCGCGCGAAGAAAAAACGAATGTGTCCCGCATGGTATTATTTGACAGGGATGATGGCCCTGGCAGGTGCGCAACCGTTGTCGCAGAAGTTCGAAAAAGTTGCTCGCAAAAGCCCGTTTGACAGAAATGTTTAAAAAGTGTTGGGTTTCCTACGAATCCGCAAGAGCGCGCGGGATGAGATTTTGACAATTACCTAACAGCGAAGACTGATAGGTTTCTAGTGGGATCAAAAGAGAGCAGCAGATCACTCCACAGGGGGGTCCGGGCAGGTGTTGGGAGTTGCCGGGCGGCAGGTGCCGGGCTCGTTTTTCACCAACAGTCACACACTTCGTGCTCTTCGACTTCCCAGAACTCCATTCCCAGGCCACATTCTGAACACCCGGATGCAACAGTCACACACTTCGTGCTCTTCGACATCCCAGAACGCCATTCCCGGGCCACATTCGGAATAGCCGGACGCAACAGTCACACACTTCGTGCTCTTCGAGTTCCCAGAACTCCATTCCCGGGCCACATTCTGGAGGGCCGGATGCAACAGTCACACACTTCCCTGACCTTCCAGAGAGCTATTTTTTAGCACTGGAGACCTAAAAACTTAAAAAGCTGAGCGAAACTGCCTAAAACCAAGACGTAGAATAGCTCTGGGATAGGTTTTTAGGTCGCGTGCTATTTCTTAGCCCTCCTGGGAAGGTCAGGGTTCGTGCTCTTCGAGTTCCCAGAATTCCATTCCCGGGCCACATTTTGGATGCCCGGAGCCAACTGTAGGCCACTTCGTGCTCTTCGAGTTCCCAGAACTCCATTCCCGGGCCACATTTTGAATGCCCGGAGCCAACTGTAGGCCACTTCGTGCTCTTCGAGTTCCCAGAACTCCATTCCCGGGCCACATTTTGAATGCCCGTAGCCAACTGTAGGCAACTTCGTGCTCTTCGACTTCCCAGAACTCCCATTCCTGGGCCACATTTTCAGCAGGGGCAAGAACACGACGAGGAGGAGGACGAGCAAGACCAGGAGGACGAGGACGAGCAGGAGCAGGACGAGGAGCAGGAGGAGCAGGAGAAGAAGGACGAGCAGGAGGAGGAGGAGGACGAGCAGGAGGAGGAGGACGACCAGGAGGAGGAGGACGACCAGGAAGAGGAGGAGGAGGAGGAGGAGGAGGGGAGGGGGAGGAGTACCAGGAGGAGGAGGAGGAGGAGGAGGAGGAGGAGGAGGAGGAGGAAGAGGAGGAGGAGGAGGAGGAGGACGAGGACGAGGAGGAGGAGGAGGAGGGGGGGGGAGAGTACCAGGAGGAGGAGAACGAGGACCACCAGGAGGAGGAGGAGGAGGAGGAGGAGGAGGAGGAGGAGGAGAGAACACCAGGAGGAGGAGGACGAGCAAGACGAGGAGGACGAGAACGAGGACCAGGAAGACCAGGAAGAGGAGGAGGAGGAGGAGGAGGGGAGGGGGAGGACTACCAGGAGGAGGAGGAGGAGGAGGAGGAAGAGGAGGAGGAGGACGAGGAGGAGGAGGAGGAGGAGGACGAGGAGGAGGAGGGGGGGGGAGAGCACCAGGAGGAGGAGAACGAGGACCTCCAGGAGGAGGAGGAGGAGGAGGAGGAGGAGGAGGGAGAGAGCACCAGGAGGAGGAGGACGAGCAAGACGAGGAGGACGAGAACGAGGACGAGCAGGAGGAAGAGGAGGAGGAGGAGGAGGAGGAGGAGCAGGAGAAAGAGGAGGAGGAGGAGGAGGAGGCAGGCTGAGGCTGAGGCTGTGACTGCGACTGCCGTTGCCGCTGCGACTGTCATCGCGAATGCGACTACGACTGCGAGAACAGCAGAATTCGACAACTGGATTTTCATCTGAATCTTAAGGGGAATGCTTTCAGATATGCTTCTACACATCGCTGTTAGGTTGCTTTGCCGGGATATTTTTTTGTTGAAAAACCATTGGTTTTTTGATGTTTGTATGTTAAAATCGCTGCGAACACTAAGGTTTTGGAAGGATTTCGTCTTGCGCGCGCGAATGTCCACTTTACCTTATTTTTTGCAAGGGATTCTTGAAATTTGATTATATTAGAACAAGAAATGTCATTTTCTATTGTTTTTTGCAAGGGAAAGCGGATTACAACAAAACAGCCGGATCCTGTACACACCCTCTTTTCTGAGGCTTCCTCACGAAAATGATGAAAATGTAGCTGCGGCCTAGGCGGCGCAGGGGGGGCGCGCACCAGGGGGCCCAACAATAATTATTCT